GTGGGCACAGGCTTGAACCGAACTTTCTTAACAGGACGAACCAGAAATGGGCAACAATATCAAAAAACAAAAAAAAAAAAAACAAAAATGAAAACGAATGCACAATCTATCTAGGAAAGCAATAAACCAAAAGAATATACAACTAACAAAAAACCAGTGAGAGATGGCTTTATCAAAAATCTCAAACAATCGCTGCGTGGGTTGCAGAGAGAGAGGACACTCCTAATGCTGGTGGGTGCAAACTAGTTCAACCTCTGTGGAAAGCAATATTGGAGACTACTTAAATGCGATCAAGTGAATCACCATTGATAAGCAATCCATTGCGGGCATAACCCAAATGATCAATGACACTCTACAAAAAGACCTACTTGAATGTTTATGCAGCACAATTTCATATTCAAGCTGTGAAACAGCCCAAGTGCCTCAATCAAGATGGATTAATAATGTGGTATATGTAAACAGAGTACTATTCAGCTCAAGTAACTGTGATAGTAGCAATTTATATTTTCCTGTTAGAGGCTGGACCACATATACTAAGTAAGTATCCAAGAATGTAAAAAAAGCACAGATATATTCCAGCCGGTATATGAATTGAGTAGTCCCTAAGGCGACACATAGGTACTACAGTAAGGGGGTATTGGGCAGGCGGGAGGGGGGAGGGGGCGGGTATATACATACATAATGAGTGAGATGTGCACCATCTGGGGGATGTTCATGATGGAGACTCAGACTTGTGGGGGGATGGGGGGGAAGTGGGCATTTATTGAAACCTTAAAATCTGTACCCCCATAATATGCCGAAATAAAAAAAAAAAGAATTCAAGAAGTATGAAAGATCAAGGAAACATGACACCACTAAAGGAAAACAATAATTTTTCAGTGACTGTCCCTAAAGAAATGGAGTTCTATAAATTGCTCTATAACAAATTAAAAACAATAGTTTTAAATAAGCTCAGAAAGTTACAAGGATACAAAGTTACAAACACAGACAATCCAATCAAAGCCAGAAAACACTACATGAAAGAAACTAGAAATTATGAGATAGAAACTATAAAAAAGCCAGAAATTATAGAATTGAAGAATACACTGCATGAAATGATATTTAAAATAGAGAGCATCAATAGCAGACTTGATTGAGCAGAAGAAAGGACCTGTGAACTTGAAGACAGGACATTTGAAATTATACATCAGAGGAGAAAAAGGAAAAAATAAGAAGAAATGAAGAAAGCCTACAGGATTTATGGAAAACTATCAAGAGAATATGTTAGGATAATGGAAGGTCATGAAGGTAAAGAGAGAAAAGGACAGAAAGTTTATAGAAAGAAATAATGGCAAAACTCCCCAAATCTGGGGAAAGATATGGATGGACATGAAACTCAAAGATTCCTGTACTGATTAAAATGAAAAATGACTTCTCCAAAACACATTATAATCAAACTGTCAAAAATTGAAGCCAATGAACTCATCAATTAATAAAGTTACCTTGAAAACACCAATTGCTAAGTGGCGAGGGCTGTTCTTATGTTATAATTATTATTTTCATATAATTTCAGTAAATGTTATTTAACAGCTTATACTGTTAAAAAAAAACATCAGAATTTTGAAAGCAGCAAGAGAAAACAGACTTATCACAAAAGGGAACCCTTATAAGGCTATCAACAGATTTCGCCCCAGAAACCTCACAGACCCAGAGGGAGCAGAATGAAATATTCAAGTGCTGAAAGGAAAAACATGGTAACTAAGAATACTGTATGCTTGAAGCTCTGACTTGAGGGGACAGTAGGGCAATGGCATTATACATAACATTAAAATTTGTACCACCATAATATGCTGAAATTAAAAAAAAGAAAAAAATACTGTACTTGGTGAAGCTGTCTTTGAAAAATGAAGCAGAATATTCCTGGACAAACAAAATCTGAAGGAGTTCATTATTCCTAGACCTCCTTTAAAAGACACACTAAGGAGAGGTCTTCAAGTGAAATGATGAGATGCTAATTAGTAATATAAAAAAATAAAAGTAGGCCAGGTGCGGTGGCTCACACCTGTAATCCTAGAACTCTGGGAGGCCAAGGCAGGTGGATTGTTTGAGGTCGGGAGTTTGTAACCAGCCTGAGCAAGAGCAAGACCTCATCTCTACTATAAATAGAAAGAAATTAATTGGCCAACTAATATATATAGAAAAAAATTAGCCGGGCATGGTGGCACATGCCTGTAGTCCCAACTACTTTGGAGGCTGAGGGAGGAGGATTGCTTGAGCCCAGGAGTTTGAGGTTGCTGTGAGCTAGGCTGACGCCACGGCACTCACTCTAGTCTGAGCAACAAAGCGAGACTCTGTCTAAATAAATAAATAAATAAATAAATAAATAAATAAATAAATAAATATAAAAGTCACTATAAAGGAAAGTAAATACACAAATTCAAAGCATTCTGATATTTTAATTCTGGTGTGCAAATAATTTTACTGTGTACAGAAATACAGAAGCATTAAAACCAACTACAGCTACAACAACTTGTTAATGCATACACATTGCATAAAGATATAAATTGAAATGCTAAAAATATAAAATATGAGGGGAGAGAAGTAAAAATACAGAATTTTGTTTGTGATAAAATTAATTTGTTAACAGCTTAAAATAGATTTTTATGCCTGTAAGATGTATTATGTAAGCATTGTGTTAAGTACAAAGCAAAAACCTGAAGTCCATACACAAAAGAGAAAAAGAAAAGAATCAAAATAGAAAATCATCAGATTACAAAGGGAAGCAGCAAGAGAAGAACAAAACTAAAAACCGCAAGAAAAAAAGTAACAATGTTAATAGTAAGTCCTTACCTATCAATAATTACATTAAATGTAAATGGATTGAATTCTCCAAACAAAAAACATAAGAGTGTACAAATGGATATTTTAAAAAGCCATGAATATCTGCTGCCTACAATAGAATCACTTTACTACTAAGAACACACCTAGACTGAAATTAAAGAGATAGAAAAATATATGCCATGCAAATGAAAGGCAAAATAGAGCAGAGGTAGCTATACTTATATAAGACTTAAAATAGACTTTAAGTTAAAAACTGTAACAAAAGATTTACAAGGTCATTTTATGCTGATAACAGGGTTAATTCTTCAAGAGGCCATAACAAATGTGTGTGTATGTGTATCTGTAATGTTGAAGCACCTAAATATATAAGACAAATATTAATAGTTATGAAGGGAGAATTAAACAGCAACGCAATAGTAGTAGGGAACTTCAATACCACACTTTCAACCATGGATAGATAATCCAGACAGAAAATCAATAAGGAAATGTTGGACTTGAATATCGCTTTAGATCAAATAGGTCTAACAGACATACACAGAACATTCCACCCAACAGTGGCAGAATAGATATCTTAAGTGCACATGGAACATCCAGGACAGCTGTATGTTAGGCCATAAAGCAATCTTTCAAAATCCAAGAAGATTGAAATAATATCCAGTACTTATTTTCACCACAACAACGTGAAACTAGAAATCAATATCAAAAAAAATTTACAAATATGTGGAATTAACAGACTCCTGCAAGGCAGGGGGTCAAAGAAGAAATCAATAAATATTTTGTGACCAAAAAATGAAAACAGAACATACCAAAACCTATGGGACATAGCAAAAGCAGTTATAGGAGCGAAGTCTATAGTGATAAACACATTAATAAAAAGGAAAGGTTTAAAATATCATAGCTTTACACCTTGAAGAACTGATACTCTTTCTCATGTTCTAGGTGTTTGGATTTTGTTTGTTTGTTTATCTGTTTTTTTTAAATTTGTGCTTCAGCTTGGATTATTCTTTTGGTTTGTCTTAAAGGTCTCTGATCCTTTCTTCAAGGTATCTATTCCATCTAATGGAAATTAGATCTATCTAATGCCTTTTGTTTAACAACCTTATTGAGGTATACTTTAAATACCATAAAATTTTCACACATAGAATATACAAGTCAATGATTTTTAAGTAAATTTATAGAGTTGTACATCCATCACCACAATCCAGGTTTAGAAAATTTCCATCATCCCTAAAAGTTGCCTCATCCCCATTTACAATCAATATAAACTTTGTTCCCAAGCCCCAGGTCACTACTAGCTTATTTGTCTACATGGATTTGCCTTATACAGAAATTTTATATAAATGGAATCATTCAATATACATATTTTTTCTGTTTCTTTTTCTTTCATTTAGCATAATGTTTTTGAAGTTCATCCATGTTGTAATCATGTATCAGCTCATCTAATGTCTTTCTGATTAAAGATATTTAACATACTAGAATTCTCATTTGGTTCATTTTCATTATTTCCATTGTCCTTATGAATCTACCATCCATTAACACATTTTTGCCATCATCTTGTATTCATTGTTTATAATAGAGTTTAAATTTTGGTCTCTGCTCTTTCTAAAATTCGGTCATGTGCTTGTTAGTTTATAACAACTATAGTTTTCATTTTCTTTGTTCATTTTGTCTTTTATTTTTCGTGTATCAGACACTCTGAGTAGAATGAAAGTGAAGGATGATTTTCTCTCTGCTTTTATTTTGTTTGCAGACAGAACTTGCAGGGTAGTGAGAAAGAAATTATCATTTAAATTTCACCAAAGTCAAGTCGTTCTAGAATTGACTAATGCATTTAATGTTATACCATCTACAGATCTATAAATGTCTACTCCTATATGTATATGTTTTATATAGCAAAATAGTATCTTGACTCCTTAGATATCTTCCTATCTGAGAGATTTCGATTCAAAATTTATTAATAACAGCTTTCTTTTTTGTATTTATTTTTTTCAGCATATTATGGGGGTACAAATGTTAAGGTTACTTATATTGCCCTTGCCCCACCTCCCCCCTCGAGACAGAGCTTCAAGCATGTCCATCCCCCTGTTGGTGCACACCACACTCATTATATATGTATATACTCATCCCCTCCCCCCACCCGCCTGACATCTGATAAATGTTATTCCTATATTTCCACTTAGATGTTGATCAGTTAATACCGATTTGCTGGTGAGTACATATGGTGCTTATTTTTCCATTCTTGGGATACTTCACTTAATAGAATGGGTTCCAGTTCTATCCAGGAAAATACAAGAGGTGCTACATAACTGTTGTTTCATATAGCTAAATAGTACTTCATGGTATACATATATCACATTTGTATTAATCCACTCATGTATTAATGGGCACTTTGGTTGTTTCCACATCTTTGCAATTGTGAATTGTGCTGTTATAAACATTTGAGTGCAGGTGTCTTTTTATATAGTGACTTTTGTTCTTTTGAGTAGATGCCCAGTAAAGGGATTACTGGATCAAATGGTAGAGCCACTTGTATCGCTGTAAAGTATCTCTATATTGATTTCCACAGAGGTTGAACTAGCAAGAGGTCCCATCAGCAATGTAGGAATAACAATTTTCTTAATGTAGTCTGAATCTTTCATAATAACTATTGATAATTAATTGGATGTAGTGGTTAATACTTTACATGTATTGTTCATTCATATATAATACTTATCTATTTCTTATTTTCAATCATTTGCTGTTAATATTTCTTACTCTTGCAAATGATAGTGCATTAAACAAAACTAAGAAGATGTTGAAAAGTCAGCCAAATCAGAAAAATAACAACAGTATTCTTTCACTGGGAGATTTTACACAGCTTCTGAAAGAAAATATATTTTGTATAACAATAATGAGGACTGAATAAGAAAATACTCAGACATTTTGGGTTATTTCTAGCTTAATGAAGGCAAGGATTCATGAAGTGTAATTGGCTAGCCTTGATGTTGATTATGTAGAAATAAGATTACTTCCAGTCAGATAAAGCAGAATCATGTGAGGCAATGATGTTATGAGTCTAATATGAACATATATATGCTTTGGATAGGGACTATGAACCAGTATGATGGAAAAAACATCACATTGTATATTTATGTCACATACATCCTGACATACTTTAATAGTCTTTTAAATGAGACAATCCAAGTTCACAGCTAACTCCAAATTTTTGTTTCTCTCATATTGAGTAATATATTATCATTGATAACCATATCACTACAGTTTCACTTCAAGTATTGCTCCAGACAGAGGGTCCTGGGAAGCTTGTGGAGTTGCCATTATAGCCAGCTTCACTAAAGTCAAGTCAAATGTCCACTTATGCTATAATCTGCTATAAAAGCAGGTGATAAAGTTTATGGGCATTAGTGTGGTGTGAGGAATGCTTATTTATTGGAAGTGCAGCTCAGTGACCATCTATTCTATTAGAACAGGACAAATAACCCTTTCAGAATTAGCCCAATTGATGGCCTCCTCAATGATCTCACAATGCCACTATCATGTACCTTCCATTTTTCACAACACAGGGTATTTTTCTAAAATCTTTTTGGTTGAATAAAACTTTTGAGTTCTGCATCCAAGAAATAACTGTTGTGTCACTAACTCAGACAGCTTGGTAGAGAGGAAATTGCAGAAAAAAGAAGTCAGGGAGGAAACAAGTGAATAAATGAAATGACAAAGGTGACAAATGATCAACTCTGATGTTTATCACAAGGATTAGGAAGCTGGGCTGCCTGAATCATAAATAATTACAAGGAAACCAATGTTGTACTTTATTTCTAATTAATTTGGTGCATTTCTGACCTGATTTATTTTCTATATGATGTTTTGTTACAGGTTAAAAATGAGAACAAGGTGTTGTACTTCAGGGAAGAGAGGTGAGCAACCACTTTGATATTTTGAAATTATTTTGTGTATCTGTGGCTGGTGAAGTCAGAATGTTAAGGTCTATGTGTTCATTACATCAGTGGCTTAAAGAGATTATTTTTTACAGGAGATATATTTCCCCATGGACGTTTTGACCCTGTTCAAGCAATCTTCTTTCTTGTTTCTTCCCTTTGTTTAAATCTCTTTTTTTTAACATTTTGGTTGCATTTTATATATTTACCTCTCCCTAGCAAGGGTTACAGGTATGCCCTTCCCCACCACAATGCTCACCACTTCCCCTAGATGTGGGTCTACTCCCCAACCCCTGAAACTCTGGTGAACACCACCACCATTTGTGTACCATAGTATTAATCAGTTAGTACCAATTTGATGGCGAGTACATGTGGAACACTTTTTTCCAATCTTGTGTCACCTCATTTTTTATGATGAGCTTAAGCTCAATCCAGGATAATATAAGAGGTGCTAGCTCACTGTCATTTCTTAGAATTGAGTAAATGTTAAAATTTGGTATATATGTTTACAATGTTTAAATCTGTTTTTGAAGTAACCTACATAATTTTGAGAAGTTGCTTATATATTTCTCATTTTCACCATTTTGTGTTAAGAGAAAATAATCTTGTAATGAAATTCAAGTGTCCTAAATATTGATTTTTTTTATCTTTTTCTGGCACATTCAGAACACAGATGCTTCTATTCATATTTGTACTGTAATCATACCATATATTACTTTGCTACATCACTTATCCCCTAAATTTTTATTTGACTTAAAAGGTTTATTTAAATTATCCCAGTAGATTTTTATTAGAACAAGTCAAGGTCATTTTTTTCATGCTATGTATGAGAGTTCCATTATGCAGATGCAAAACCAAATGTCTACTGTACATTTACTTTTCTTCATTTGTAATGCATTGGATTAGCCTGCACAAAATAAGCCTGGCTATGGAAAATAATTATTTGTTGGAAGGGTTATTGTCTGGATCGATGATGAGCAAAATTATCTGAGGACGGTGAAGGACACACTGCAGATGTCAATCTGAGGTCCAGATGAGTGGCCGTTTAGTAAGACAAGTAAGACTCTCTATGCCTGGCTTATTTGGTAATCCCTCAGTGACAGCATAAAACCACTGGGAGCATGTGTGTTTTTTCTCATTGTTCTTGACATATTTCCTTGACATGAGGAAATTAAAATGATGAGGGAACACTCTGCTTATATTAAATAATGTCAATAGAACCTGTCATTAAAAATGCAATTTTAGCACTTTGTTATTTTTACTGTTGAGTATTTTTTAAGATTTTTTCTTTCCTGTTTTTTATTTTATTTAATTTTTTTTCCTGTCTTGTTTTGCCAAGATAGAAATGCTGGAATCTGGTCCTCCACTTCAGAGAATGGGGTGAGTACCTAAACTAATCACTCTTGAAATTCATGTGTTACATGCTCTTTGCTAGGATCTTAAGTCTCTGGGTTCCTATTTTCAGAGGCTTAATTTATAATATTTTCATGAAATGTCTTGTTCCTCATTGAGACCCTCAGCCAAATTACTTACATTTTTGAATATTATGATTTCTATTTTATATTTTAAATCTTTTCTGCTTTTATGGAAAAATGGAGAATTTAAGAGAATTTTTGGCAATTTGCTCTGGGATCAAAAACTTTATAGTGAAATCAAATCGTGACAAAATATTCCGAGATTTTCTTCATCTGTTTTATTAGTAGGGTTTTAGAACTGAGACTCCATGGTTCATAAGTTCTTTGTGGTCATAATACATTATAGTTCTGTTTCTAATTTAATTGTTGAATATTAACTTATGTTAGGTTTCTTCTCATTTTTGCAACATGGGAAATTGCATATGAAATTTTGTTTTAAAATTTAATAGCAATCTTTTAAAATTTTGTTTTATCTCTTTATGGCATATATGTGATAGAAGCAATTGGTTTCTGGAATGGTTTCTGGATCACTTCAAGAATGATTTCTGGCATTGTTTCTGGTATGGTTTCTGAGTAGTTTCTGGAATGCATGTAACATTTACATATTGGTCTGTGTGTTGATAACATGCTATATTTGGATCATGCATGTTACTGAGCAATACAGTTTTAGTGTGTATACTTTTCTATATGTATTTTATACTTCAATAGAAAGTTAAAAATAGTTAATAGAAAGTTAAAAACTAGTCCAATAGTCACTAATATATTTCTTAAGAATATTGCCAAGTGAATGTGTATTACTTGATGCTTAACAATCGAAGCCCTCATAATAGGTCAAGTGTGTTCTCTCTTTAACATAGGCATTCTAGCATATCATATCATGGAGTAGTTACTGATATATTCTGCTTTAACACATTTATATGTTTTCATGTATATGCTTAAATTATTTAACTTACACTTCTTTCTCTGTTATAAAAACAAGCTAAGCAATTCCACATCTTAAATATTGCTGACTTGTCCCCATGTGTTCGTGTACTTTGGCACTGGATTAGTTCTTTATACTTTTCTCAAGATCACTTAAACTGACACATCTCTTCTTTCAAAGAGTGGGAATTAATGTCATGATGCCCTTGTGCTTTTCCTTTCCATGTGCTATATAATTGAATATAAAAGCAAATATAGTTGTTAACATTTAGTGTGATTATTTCCACACAACACATAAAGATGTTGCTCACAGATGTTAAGAGAATAGAGGCCCACATGCATTGTACAGTAGAGAATTTTGGGGTAGTGTTGATGAAGTTAGAAGAGGTATAAAGCCAAAATTCAGAACAATGAACTGCTTGCTTAAGGATTTCCTTAGAGGTTTCTTAGTCATGAAACTGATGAATCTGAGTCCTTTTTACCTTTTGAATCCTTGACACGCTAAAATTAAAATATTTTTTACCTTTTAATCCTGCTTTCCTAATTTTCCCTTCTTTTACTTAAAATAAAAATCTTACAGGCATAAATTACTGCCAAGTGTTATCACTTCATTTTAAAGAAGTTTAACACTATAGAAGAATAGAAAATTATTTAAGACAGATGTATTTTTGACATTTCCTCTCTGCTTTCCAGAAGTAAAATATTTAGCCTTATTACAGAAAATAAATTTTCTATGAGAATGCAAGTATCTATCAATTAATCTATCTGTATATCAATGAATTATCTATCATAACCAGTTAATTTTATCATGATGAGATATTGATTTAACATATGACATTATGATAGTATTATATGTTTACAATCTCCTGAGGTTCTATAGGTTCTAAGGTCTCCATGTCAAAAACTGTAGATGTACTGGTGTCCTTCAGTGCATGTGAAAGACACCACATTTTCTTTAGCCATGTATTGTTTTCAGAATAATGGTGTTAACTTCTTTGCCATGGCAAGATATCATATATTTATAATCATTATATATTAGTCGTTATGCACTCATGCTTCTGTTTCTGTAGAAATCATTTCTAGAATGGCTAATGCTGGCAACTTAGGTCCATGCAATTTTCTTCAATGAGATATGGTCAAATCACCACCCGACTATTCAGGTTAACATCTCTTCACTACTGTATTAGAATGTTGAAGTAAAGTAATATATGTCTTATAGCTATGTAAATAGATAGGGCACTAAAATAATATTATTTAGGATATCTTTTTAAGTGATATGTACTTATGGTTAACAGTATTAAAATAGGTTTTGATTTATACAATGAAAACTGGCAGTCCTTTTTACAAACATAAGCATAACAGTAGAATTTATCACTGACAGTGATAACATGATAGTCTTTTATTTCCAATCACTGAAATAGTCCTATTTGCAGATCTCAAATACCAAGATTCAGATTTTCTTAAAGAGCCAGCATCTGGATAAATTATACAGATTTCAATTTTTATTTATAATAGTCATTTATATTCATAAATTCAAAAATCAGTAATTCATAAGTTAATAATTTAGTTTGTGACAGTCAATGCAAGAATAACAATGGAAGGACAAAACCAGTTACACTAATAAAGTCATATTAACATGAAAAAATTAATCAGGATAGCTTTCATAGTATAAATTTGGAGAAAATGTCAAGAAATTCTCTGAAATATTCTTTTATGAATATTTACATTATACAAGAATTTTTAAAATTCTGGCATAATGTGTGCTTCTTTCCAGATAGTTTGAGCAGATTGATATTTGGCATATCTTTTGAATCATATCTTTGTCTTTAGTGGTGGCAATATATGCTTGAAAATGAACAAATAAGAAGATAAATATAAAGCCATAAGTGAAGGTCCGAGGTTGAAGTAATTAATCATGCATACAGAACACAAAGGATTTTAATATAACATAATGTTAATTAACTTTATAGAATTATGCTGAATGGATATCAAACATGGACATTATTGTCATCTCATTGAAAGGTTCAATAGGTACCACAATACACACTTTTCTTTTGCACCAAACACCCTATAAAATTTTTATGGCTTATTTAGACAGTGTGTGTGTTTTTGAGAGATCTTGACACAGAGAAGCAAGAATATCAGGTTGCCAGTACACTCTGTATATAGTTAGAGTCACATTGAAACCATGGCTTCTCCAGTTCTGAGGTGAGCCCACTGATCACACATTCTCAGAAAACATAGCAGGCTCAAGTCCTATGCACACAGTATTTCATGATTATCTTATGTCAGCAATTTCTAAGTATAGAGTTTGTGTGAAGACAAATCATTTCTCTTAGCCTGTATGTATAGTAAATTCATCATTTATTTATTTAGTTACTAAAATATTATCATCAGATAGAGAGACTATAGCAAAGTGGTCTTAATGCAATGGAGAATGAAGTGTAAGTTTATGCTAATGATACTTTCAGTTTGGATAAGACATCTAAGAGAAAATTGTAAAAACATGTATGGCAGTAAAGCTTTCATGTGATTCACTTATGCAGTGGATTTACCTAATTTTTTGGTGGAATAGAAGTATGGGTTGTTGTCCCTAAATAGAAAAATTAAAAGTTTTTTAAAAATTAATGCGAAAAGAAAAATGAAGAAGGAAGTAAATGCTAAGTGCTAATGGAGTCAAAATATAAGGTTGTATTTAGTATGGAAACAATAGATGGACATTGAGTAGTAACATTATTTTTCTAATGTGCGCGAACCTTGCTTAATGAAGAGAGACAAAGTTGTTGAAAGCAGGTTTATATTGTGTCTTGTTTTGGTGTCGATCCATTTTAGCTCTAATAATCTAACTTATAAATATTGAAAATTGATTCTCGCATTATTTAGTATATTCTAATTTTTATATGTGTCAAAATTACCAACTCCCAAACTGTGCCATCTCCTTAGGAAGCAATTCTATTGGAGTTTATGAGATTGCCATATTGCCAGCTTAAAAAAACTAAAGCTGAAGTATATACTGTATTTTTTTTTTTTTTTTTTTTTTTTTTTTTGAGACAGAGTCTCACTTTGTTGCCCAGGCTAGAGTGAATGCCATGGCATCAGCCTAGCTTACAGCAACCTCAAACTCCTGGGCTCAAGCCATCCTGCTGCCTCAGCCTCCCGAGTAGCTGGGACTACAGGCACGCGCCACTATGCCCAGCTAATTTTTTCTATATATATTAGTTGGCCAATTAATTTGTTTCTATTTATAGTAGAGACGGGGTCTTGCTCTTGCTCAGGCTGGTTTTGAACTCCTGACCTTGAGCAATCCACCCATTTCAGCCTCCCAGAGTGCTAGGATTACAGGCGTGAGCCACCGTGCCCGGCCTATACTGTATTCTTAATGCAAATAAGAACTCCATAGTAAAGCAACCAAGTTATAGAAGTGTGAATTTGTCAGGAGCTGCCTTCCCAGATCAATGATAAGCAAAATTATTGGAGGATTCTGAAAGATTATTTTCAGATAACAATCTACCCAAATGTCCTTTAATAGGAAGAGAGGACTTTCAGAAGTGGTTCAATGTGATGACTCAGTTATCTCACACTGCTCCTATCTGCATATTCTTCTTTTCTCTCACAAAATTGCATTATCATAAAAGCTTCATTAGGCAGACTTTACCCTTAAGTTTTCACATTAAAGCTAGGTCTGGTGTTTCATTTATTTTGAACTATTTGTTGTTGATTATGTACCATACTTGAATAAAAATAATGAATATAAAATCATCTGTAGGAAACTAAAAAGTGATCAGGTGACTATAGAGTAGATTATTAGTGTCAGTAATATTGGGAAAGTTCTAAGGGAATATAAGACACTTGGATGTTGCATAATGACAGTAGGACCAAATGACAAATTGTGGTGTTTCATTATAATTAATATTTATGTATTCTCTCATTTATTTGTGTACTTTTTTCTGCCTTTTGTAGCAGATAAAATAAACTCTGAGAAGTGATAATTAGTCAGGGAATAAAACTAAGCAGATATCTGTGCCTTTCACATTCTTCATGTGATGGGACAGTCATAAAATGAGCTTCAGTAAATCTAAGCATTAATTTTATATAAACCATGTTAATTGAAATTCATGATGGGATTGAATTAGAAATCAGAACAGCTTGACAATATCCCAAATATTTAGAAATTTAAATTAGCACTCCTGGACTATTTATGGGTCAACAAAAGATACAAAATGATTATTGAAATTATTTTGAACTGAATAAAGATAAAAATATAACACCAAAAATGTGGAATAGTGATAAAACAGTATTTAGGGGCAAGTTTACAGCACTGAAATGCCTATGTTAGGAATGAAGAAAGGTCTTAAATCAATAACTTCCTATTTACCTTAAGAAGCATAAAAAAGAGCAAATTAATTCAGAGTAAGAGAAATAAAGGCAATAATAAAAAAAGAGATTAAAATCAATGAAACATAGAAGACAAATATGTATAAAGAGAAAAATGGGTAAAATTGAAAATTAGTACATTGAGAAGATGAATAATGTCAATAAACTTTTGGTGAGAGTGATTAAGAAGAAAAGAAAAGCAAGACACAAATACCAACATCTGGAAATGTGAGAAGTGACATCATTACAGATGCTGTGAATTAAAATCATAATAAGGAACATTTGTGAGAAATCTATGCCAACATTTTTCAATAATTTCAATGAAGTGAGAAAATTCCTGAATGATACAAACCATAAAAATTCAATGAAGTAGATAACATGAATAGCCATGTATTTAAAAACTGACTTTGTAGTTATAGCATAGAAAATTCCAGGAACATATAGCTATACATGAAGTAAAAAAACAATACCCATTCTGTACAATAATACAGAAAATTTTAAAGAAGATTATATTTCCCACCTCATCCTATATGGACAGCAATAACCAGATAGAAAACCCCAAAAATTTAAAAAGAAGAATAGACAACAATGTCCCACATGAATATAAATGCAAAAAAAAATCTAAGCCAAATTTTAACATAGGAAATATAAAAATATGTAGAAATATTTTGTGACCAATCTGGGGTTATCCAAGGAATTAAGGTCTGCTTTTCCATTTAAAGATCAATCAATGCAGGATAATCACTTCTGGAAAGTAAGAGTAAAAACCTCTAAAAATCCACTCCTCCATAAAATCAATAAGATACTTGACAGAAATGATCAAAAGTAATTTTTAAGAACTTTGGAAATTAACCAAAGATTTACAAAATTCCAAAGAATATTGATTCCAGAAAAATGGCTGACTCTCAGTAAGAAGTGGAAGATTTGTGTCCTTTCATCAGGCACTGTTCAGATCCTTTTCTCCCCAGCACAATGGTAGTTATGAGAACCTTCATGATAGCAGCCACTGAAGAAGACAGAATATGTTTGGGAGTTTCCGAAAAAAGCCCTATCCCTGGACAATTATCGCTATTTGACAGCTCTGGAAGTTCCCTGGAAAAGTCCAATATATATGATTTATATTTATTTGTACTGACTCAGTGCTCACTCACTAAGAAAAATCTCAATCCCAGAGCATTAGTTACAAAGAATTTGTGGCAATTGTTGAATATAACAGATACCTGAAATGTTGATAGCAGTTGGGAAAAACAAGAAGCTGGCCAAAAAACTAAAAAGGAAAATGTCATGAATGAGATGTCCAAAGGATGCTTCAAAAAGCTCTGACACATTCTTTTTTTATCTAGAAGACCACATATATGTGCAAAATTCTACATGAGCACTGGAAACATCCTAATTGCTTACCTCTGCTTTCCTTTTAGGCTCTGTGCAAGCAGGAGCTTAAGCTAAGGAAGGGTTGTAAACTACTTGGGCACTGAATGCAAGCCACAACAGCAAACAGAAAAAAACACAAGCTCTGGGAATGGAGAGATTGTGATTTACAGAGTTATCACATTATATTTGTCCAGTTTTCAACAAATAATTACAAGATATATAAGGAAATAGGAAAGTATGTCACATATAAGAAAAGAAGAAGCCACTATAAACTACCCCTTAGAAAGGCAAGATGTTGGACATATTAGACACAGACATTAAGTCAGCTATTAAAAATATTTAAAGTGGTAAAAGAAAGCATGTTTGAAGGATCAAAGAATGAAAACAATATCATGTCAGTATAGATTACCAATAAAGAAACAGAAATCACAAGAAAGGATCACATGAAACTTCTGGAGCTAAAAAATAAAATAATTGAAAGAGAAATTACACAAGAGGCTCTCTTACAGCAGATTTGAGCACACACAAGAAGAATTGGTGAACTTGAAGATAAGTAAACTGACATTATCCAGTCTGAGTAACACAGAGAAAAAGACAAAGAAATGGACTGTGCTGCAGAGAACTGTGCAACATAATCCACTATAACAATATATACATGAATTAGAGTCTCAGATAAGAGAGAGAAGAAGAAAAAATACTTCAAAAAATAATCAAAACTTCTCATTTTGATGAAAAATATTAATTTATATATCCAAGGTCAATAAACTACAAGTAAGATAAACTCAAAGAAATCCACACCTATACGCATCATAGTCAAACTGTGAAAAGACAAGCACAAATAAAGAATCTTGAAGACTGTGAGAAAAAAATGATTTATCACATACACATAATGATCAATAAGATAGATAATTCACTTCCCACCATAAACCATGCACATCAAAGACTGTGCATAATCAAAGTGATGAAAGAAAAACTCAACCAAGAATTCTATATCTACCAAAACTCTCATTCAAAAAGGAGAAATGGAGATGTTCCTAGATTAATACATCTAAGAAAAGTTATTTCTATAATACTGGTCCTTGAAAAATGCTAAAGAAACTCCTTCTCTCTGAAATAGAAATATACTGGAGAGTAACCTAAAGCCACCTGAAGAAATAAAGAGCACCAATAAAGATACATATACGTGTAAATTTAAAACAAAGTATAAATGTATTTGTTTTCTAACATTTTTTCTCCTATTTGATTTAAAAATATAATCTCAATGATAAATTTTTGTTGACAGTGTTATAACATATAAAGATATAATTTGGGGGTGATGTTAGCAGGATGAAAGAATAAGAGTTTTCATCCCCCCACAGAAGCATCAAATTTGACAATGTCCCATGAGCAAAAACACTTTTATGGGAGTTCAGAAGTTGACAGTAGAAGTTTAGCACATCACTAGAGCAATATATATATAGAGAGAGAGAGGCTACATTTAAGAGGATAATAAGAACAGTTTTAATTTACCTGAATCAGCTGTCCCCCAAAGTGGCATGGTAGAGTACCAACAGAGACCCCTTCAGCCCATGATTTCTCCCACAGGGAAAAGTGAAAACATAATAAATGAGTACACACCTTCTCTAGGCAAGCAAGACATTGCCCCAAAGACCTACATTATTCTTACTCTCTCCCTCCAGAATACTGAGGTGATTGGCATAGCTGAGTTGTTAGAAGAGGGTGAGAGCAGGTAAGAGACCTGGGGACTCACAGCAACAAGAGCTTTGAAATGCCATGGCTTCTACTAACTGAATCATGGACTTCATCAAAAGCTCACCCATAAACCACTTGGAATGCCTCAACCCAAATCCTAACTAGCTCTCATATCACCCAATGCTCCAAATGCCTAATCCCCTCT